TTAGTTTTTAAAAATAATCGATTAATCGCAATAATCGATTGTTAAAAGTAATCGCCCAATTCGACAATAACTCATCTAATCTGTTTCGCCGATTCAGTCGGGTCATCGAGAAAAATGTCATAGACTTATCGGACTATCTTTTCTTTCAGTTTTTAATGATTATCGATCGATCGATTGTATCGGTAATTAGTTAATCTAACTAATAAATTATTACGATTAATCGCAATAATTTTCTCACAAATTTTGATCGATTTATAAATTTAATAATCTCTCAGCCGTAGTAATTCAATTTTATTTACATATAGGTAGAGTGACTTTAGATGTATCTATATATTACAATAAATTAATTAGAAATATATTTAGGTATCTGCTACATTTTAGGTCATTTTGCACCATCTAGAGAAATGATAGGTTTCACGCTTTTGTATTCTTATAATTTCTGAGTTGCTCCTAGTATTTTGGATTTTCTACCAACTTATCTTGGTAAATTTTATAGAAAAATTACTGTTATTTAGACTTTTACAGACCGTAATGGTACATATGCATATGTTGTACTTCTCTTATTTTATTATATAATTTTTATCACTTTTTATGATTGTACAGCGTAACCCTTTTTCACGAAAAGTAAGTCGAAAGATTTAATTTTTTTTATTTCTACAATCAACCTATTCGTTTAAGTAATTTTTGTCATTCTTCAAAAAAACCTATTCAAAATCGAGTTTATACACAATTAGCGAAAAGATATATTAAAAAATAAAAACTGGTCGCTTAAATTTAATTTTAAGTCAAAAGGAAAAATGTTTCAAAAGAAAACGGAAAATAACATCGAAAAATCGACCTTAATTTGCTAAAATCAGGTCTAGTCCATGTTTTCCCCACTAAAAAGGATAACCCACTGGACTATGTTCACTTTCATTCGCGCGTGGAGTACTTACTTATAGTTATTGTTTTATTTTTAAATTTTCTGTCCAAGCCATTAATTTTATGATTTGTACAATCTTCTTTATTCATTTATATCTACTTCGATTATTTTAGTTTTAAATTAAACAACTGAAAAATCACGCGAATACTGAAATGAGTTTTAATTCAAAGTAGGTATGGGCCTCGATACATTTTTATTGTGTTTACGGCATAAATGCTTTCCCAATTTGTCAAGGAGAAATAAAGGTTGTTTCTTGTTTTGCCGTGCTATCGGGTTTAACCGAGTCTACAATATTTTATCCGAATGGTGCGATACCGTATGCAAGGAATACGAACCAGTTATTGCTTCGGGCAGTGATAAGGAGAAGGCTAGACAAAGTTTTTAAGATTTCCGGAGTGATTTCGCATGTTGGTTCTTGTCTGTTATTATAACCTAATTGTTGAAATGGTGAATTTACATT